GTTGATCCCCCACCAAACACCGATGATGGAAGTTACAATCTGACGATTTCTAGAAGACTACAATTTGAGGACTTTCACGTAGAAGGCTACAATCTGACGACCTTCATGACAACTGATGAAAGCTCTAATTCAACAGCATTCATAATCAATATCGGGAGTTACAATCTGATGACTCTCATATTCTCAAGGAGCCAAGAGGACGATCTGTGCAAAGCTCTAGCAAAAAAGACTACAAATTGACGGTCTCTTCATATTAGAACGTAGATATCTCTCAAACCGTAAGGAATTTGGCGAAACGAAGGAAGCGAACTGAAGCCTTTGGTTAGGTTCGGATGGCCCCGTCTCGTCGAGATAGCCGATTTTCATATATAATTCGTCCAATTCCGACTTGCGGTTTGAAAGTTATGACATGTTCTTCATAGCAAGTTATGTTCTGAAGTCCGTCTGCAAGACTGGACTTCGTCAGAACATTGGACTTAGCCTGAAGCTCGCCAAGCCCGCCTAAGGTTCGCCTCTGCATTACAGAGTCAAAGCGCATAGGTCGAACCAGCGTTATAACCTCAAAACGCAGAGGTTATCCTCGTGATATAACATCAAAATGCAGAGTTTTCAGGCCAACTGTGCGTTTTCAGGCCAACTGTGCGTTTACAGGCTCAACTGTGCGTTTTCAGCCTGAAACAGGCCAACTGTGCGTTTTCAGCCAGAAACAAGCCAACTGTGCGTTTACAGGCTCAACTGTGCGTTTTCAGCCTGAAACAGGCCAACTGTGCGTTTACAAATACAAGTTAATTTTTCTTTCATTGTCTTTTTACATCGAAATTTCCAACAAACAAAAGATGGCGACTCCGCTGGGGACTAGCTTCTCTGACGAAGAAGCGGTGGCGCAATCCGATGTTCATCTCACTAGAACGATCGTTGAAACTCTGATTATCGAGTTTGATCAAGCCAAGTACGAGGAGGCCCTCTCCTCCGGATCCCTTAGCAGGCTCAACTGTGCGTTTTCAGCCTAAAACGTCCCAACTGTGCGTTTACAGGCCAACTGTGCGTTTTCAACCTAAAACGTCCCAACTGTGCGTTTACAGGCCAACTGTGCGTTTTCAGCCTAAAATGTCCCAACTGTGCGTTTACAGGCTCAACTGTGCGTTTTTAGGCCAATTGTGCGTTTACAGGCTCAACTGTGCGTTTTCAGCCTGAAACAGGCCAACTGTGCGTTTACAGGCCAACTTGTGCGTTTTCAGCCTGGAGAGAAGACAAATGATGTATCCTTGGCTAAGAGATTGGTCAAGGGTCTAGCAATTTTGCTGAAATCCTTGATGAAACGTCGGTAAAAACCAGCATGACCAAGAAACGATCTGACATCTTTGACAGTTTTGGGAGGAGGGAGATTGGAAATGAGATCTACCTTAGCTTTGTCCACTTCGATTCCCCTATTGGAAACTACATGTCCTAAGACAATGCCTTGTTTGACCATGAAATGACATTTCTCCCAATTGAGAGTCAGATTTTTCTCCCTACACCGTTCTAGGACCAGTTTAAGATGATGCAAACATTGGGAAAATGTGTCACCAAAAATGGAAAAGTCATCCATGAAAATTTCGAGAAATCGCTCTACCATGTCGGAAAAAATACTGATCATGCAACGTTGGAATGTGGCCGGTGCATTGCACAGGCCAAAAGGCATGCGTCGGTATGCGAATGTTCCATACGGGCAAGTGAAGGTGGTTTTCTCCTGATCTTCTGGAGCGATAGGGATTTGATTGTAACCTGAATATCCATCCAGGAAACAGTAGAACTCGTGTCCTGCTAAACGCTCTAACATTTGGTCAATGAAAGGAAGAGGGAAGTGATCTTTCCGAGTGGCTAAGTTGAGTTTTCTGTAGTCAATACAGACTCGCCATCCAGTTTGGATTCGAGTGGGAATCAGCTCATTAGCCTCATTTTGGATCACGGTGATCCCAGATTTCTTTGGAACAACTTGGACTGGACTCACCCATGAACTATCAGAAATGGGATAGATGATCCCATGATCGAGACATTTCAGAATGTCTTTCCTAACAGCTTCTTTCATCACTGGGTTTAACTGACGTTGAGGATCTCTAGTAGGTTTGGCATCATCTATCAAATGGATTCGGTGTTGAACAATGGTTGGACTAATCCCTTTGATATCAGACATGGTCCATCCAATGGCTTCCCTATTCTCTCTTAAAACATCTAAGAGAGCTTCCTTTTGACCGGTAGTCAAATCAGAAGAAATGATAACTGGTAAAGACTCGTTCTCCCCTAAGTAGGCATACTCTAGATTTTCAGGTAGAGGTTTGAGCTCTAACTTAGGGGGTTCCTCTACAGATGGGCGAAGCTGGACTCGGGGTTCTATCTCCAAAGGTTCTCGTTGCCAGCCAACAGCAGAAACATGATTGATCAGCGGTTCTAACTCTAGTTCGTCATCAGAAAACTCCTTAATCATTAAGATAGATGCAATTGAATTAGACTTACACTCTCCCTCTTGTTGTTCACTGGATATTCCTGTTTGTAGGAAAAAATTGCAAAGAAGAGAATAAAGAAAATTTGATTTGTATTTCTTTGATTCCGATTACAACTTGATTA